CAATCCAGCTCAACGCTTCATGTTTAACCAGAATGCGCAGCCGAAGCTGATGCATTATGTTTGGCCGGACGGATCCGCGAGGTGCCGACTGTCGGACGGCACTGGCATTCTTTTGACCGGATGCCGCCAGTGCATTTGGCGCTAGGGAGTGAAGTCGTATGCAGTTTGTTTTGAATAGGTTGATCACCACCTAAATAAATGGACTAAGGCTTTCTTGGAGTTGCTTGACTGTTCAATGCAACCACCTCTTCAAAATGTTGCTGCAGCATAAAACTCATTCGGCCGAGCACCATGATCCACGAGAGATCATAACTTGCATTGCAATATGAATCAGGTGAACTTGGAATCCATCAGGATAGCATTGTTTTGTACAACGCAAGTTGAGCAGGTTGTGGGGGGGTGTGAAACTTCGAAACCACTTCGTTCGATTCGTCCCCTCATACATGAACAACCATGCTCTCCTTTCGTTTTCCTTTTGAGCCTGTTGGTAAGCTAGTTCACTTGAGCGAGTTTTGCCTTGTGCGTTGACACGCACAAATCGAGAAGGTACTAAATCGGCAGTGTGTGACACGCACAATTCGGAAGTGCGATGACACGCACAATTCGAGGATGTGCCAAGGACTTGCCACGTTGATCGTGGCTCAAGGTCACGTCAAAAGGCGTGACTGCGGCGCGTGCGGGGCGTCGGGCGCTCGTGGCCACTAGTCGCAGTGGCGGGTTCCACGGAGGGTTGACAGGTGTTTTCATTTTGGTTGACCACTGTTAAATCCCTGAAGTGAAACTTCATATGCTGTGGTGCTGGTGCTGGTGTGGTGCTGGTGCTGGTGGTGGTGGAGAGGGCAGAGGAGGGAAGGAGAACAGAGGAGAGGCGAGGAGGAGAGGAGGAGAGGAGAGGAGAGGAAAGGAGAAAAGAGAGTGGAGGGGAAGAAGGGGAAGAAAGGGCAGGAGAGGAGTGGAGCTTTGAGCATGAAGGAGGGAGGGGTTAGCATATTCAAAATCCATTTGGAGAGGCCCCAGGTAATGATGAATTATCCAGGATTTCCTGGTGCTAATTTTCGCTGGTTGTCTTAATAAAGAAACCTTTTTGCAGAGTTACAGGGGGGTGGCCGGACTCAATCTATATATATATCTATGAATAGCGACAAGGACTATGCATGATTCATCATGATTCTATGGCTGATTCTATGATATCATGTGGATATGATATGGTGTCACCATGTGTCACCTTCCCACTTGACCCCCCCCCAGCGGGCAAGGGATCAAAAAAAAAATAAAATGCATCAAAAAACAAATATAATTCAGGGTATCAAGAAAAAAACAAAAATGAATCAATAAAAAAATAAACGGACCCAAACGAGTGGAGGGAAGCGCAATAGTCCAACTCGAAGCAGTGATCAAAAGAAAAACAAAAACGCATCCAAAAAAACAAAAACTAAATCAACCTACACGGATACCTTGGATTGTCCTGTAGGGCCCTTGGGTCGAGACCAACCTATCCACTACAACGGTCGGCCTCTGCCCTCTGTGTTCGGTTCGAAATTGCCAAGAATTCAAAAGATAAGGTGTTTCAGGTTTTGGAGATTCAAGAGGTCACGGTTGAGAACAGGACGCCTACATCTACAAAGATCCAAAGGCCTCGACATCCAGACAGATCTAGTGTAAAGGTGTAGAGTCTAGAGACCCACAAAATCTTGCAGAGGTTCAGATCCAGCTCTTCCAAAATTTTACTGGCGTGCTAGAATGGAATGGCTTTCTGCCCTCTAACCTTTACTACTGTACATTCGGGTGGCTTACAGAAGGGCGGCGCCGCAGCCGCGCACACGGATTCAACTCAACTGCGCACACACATTTATCGGCACTTGTGCCTCATCTGCGCACACACTTGTTAACTCAGCGTGCGCACACCCCACCATGGGGAGTCAAGTGCGCACACAGGCCCTTTCCCGAATGTTGCTGCGTATTCCAAATTTCACCCTGCGTTGCTCACTTAAAAGGGTAGTCAACTTGGAATAGCCACTTCCTTGTCTATTTTTGTTACTCTCCAGTGGCTCACCAAGGGGTGAGTCAACTTGGAATGAGCACTTCCTTCTCTAAATTTTGCCCCTGCATTGCACACAAAGGGTGAGTCAAGTTGAAATGGCAACATCCTTCTCTAAATTTTACCCTCGGGCGGCTCACCAAAGGGTGAGTCAACTTGGAAGGGCAACATCCTTCTCTAAATTTTTTCCCCTGCGTGGCCCACAAAAGGGTGAGTCAAGGTGAAATGGCAACATCCTTCTCTAAATTTTACCCCTGCATGGCCCACAAAAGGGTGAGTCAACTTGGCATGGCCAGTTCCCTCTCTAAATTTTACCCTCCAGTGGCTCACCAAAGGGTGAGTCAACTTGGAATGACCTCTTCCTTTTCTAAATTTTACCCTGCCCACAAAAGGGTGAGTCAAGTTGAAATGGCAACTTCTTTTCTAAATTCTACCCTCGGGTGGCTCACCAAAGGGTGAGTCAACTTGGAAGGGCAACATCCTTCTCTAAATTTTACCCCTGCATGGCCACAAAAGGGTGAGTCAAGTTGAAATGGCAACATCCTTCTCTAATTTTTAGCCTCGGGTGGCTCACTAAAGGGTGAGTCAACTTGGAAGGGCCACATCCTTCTCTAAATTTTGCCCCTGCATGGCCCACAAAAAGTTGAAATGGCAACATCCTTCTCTAATTTTTAACCTCGGGTGGCTCACAAAAGGGTGAGTCAAGTTGAAATGGCAACATCCTTCTCTAAATTTTACCCCTGCGTGCCCACAAAAGGGTGAGTCAACTCGGCATGGCCGCTTCCCTCTCTAAATTTTACCCCTGCATTGGCCACAAAAGGGTGAGTCAAGTTGGAGTGACCACTTCCTTCTCAAAATTTTACCCTGTGCACAAAAGGGTGAGTCAAGTTGAAATGGCAACATCCTTCTCCAAATTTTAGCCTCGGGTGGTGCAACAAAGGGTGAGTCAACTTGCAGCTTTCCTGGCCACTGCAGGCAGCACAGGTCCGTAAGCTGGCCACCTGCAGCAGCACAGTGCTCACAACACTCTGGCCACCTCCAGCAGCACAGCGCTGACGACACTGGCCACTGCAGGCAGCACAGCTCCGTAAGCTGGACATCCAAAGGCCTCGACATCCAGATAGATCTGGAGTGTAGAGGTGTAGAGTCTAGAGACCCACTAAATCTTGCAGAGGTTCAGATCCAGAGGCCAGGGGAACAGAGGACCAAAGGACCCGGGGCCTTACGGTCGCCTCACCTCTTCAAAATTTTACTGGCGTGCTAGAATGGAATGGCTTTCTGCGCTCTAAACTTTACTACTGTACATTCGGGTGGCTCACAGAAGGGCGGCGCCGCATATTTTATCAGCACTTGTGCCTCATCTGCGCACACACTTGTTGACTCAGCGTGCACACACCCCATCGGGGGGAATCAAGTGCGCACACAGGCCCTTTCCCGAATGTTGCTGCGTATTCCAAATTTCACCCCTGCATTGCTCACTTAAAAGTGTAGTCAACTTGGAATGGCCACTTCCTTCTCTATTTTTTCCCTCCAGTGGCTCACCAAGGGGTGAGTCAACTTGGAATGAGCACTTCCTTCTCTAAAATTTACCCCTGCGTTGCCCACAAAAGGGTGAGTCAAGTTGAAATGGCAACATCCTTCTCTAAACTCTACCCTCGGGTGGCTCACCAAAGGGTGAGTCAACTTGGAAGAGCAACATTCTTCTCTAAATTGATCCCCCTGCATGGCCCACAAAAGGGTGAGTCAAGTTGAAGTGGCAACATCTTTCTCTAAATTTTGCCCCTGCATGGCCCACAAAAGGGTGAGTCAACTTGGCATGGCCACTTCCCTCTCTAAATTTTACCCTCCAGTGGCCCACCAAAGGGTGAGTCAACTTGGAATGACCACTTCCTTTTCTAAACTTTACCCTGCCCACAAAAGGGTGAGTCAAGTTGAAAGTTGAAATGGCAACTTCTTTTCACAATTTTACCCTCGGGTGGCTCACCAAAGGGTGAGTCAACTTGGAAGGGCAACATCCCTCTCTAAATTTTACCCCCGCATGGCCCACAAAAGGGTGAGTCAAGTTGAAATGGCAACATCCTTCTCTCAATTTTACCCCTGCGTGGCCCACAAAAGGGTGGGTCAACTCGGCATGGCCGCTTCCCTCTCTAAATTTTACCCCGCATTGGCCACAAAAGGATGAGTCAAGTTGGAGTGACCACTTCCTTCTCATAATTTTACCCTGTGCGCAAAAGGGTGAGTCAAGTTGAAATGGCAACATTCTTCTCCAAATTTTACCCTCGGGTGGCGCAACAAAGGGTGAGTCAACTTGCAGCTTTCCTGGCCACTGCAGGCAGCACAGGTCCGTAAGCTGGCTCGCTGAGTAGCTGGCCAAATGGGGGATAGAACAGGAGTTCAAAAGTGGTCCTTGTTGTTGTGTGTGTTTTTTGGGAGATGCATCAAAAAATGCATTAACATAGAATACATAGATGCATCAAACAATGCATTAACATAGAATACATGACAACACTTGCCATTGCAGGCAGCACAGCTCCGCAAGCGGGCCACCTACAAAAGCCATCGAAAACCAAAGGCAAAAGCCACCAAAACCCAAGAGCCACCGAAAGCGAACCTTCCTTCCTGCCTTGCTGCCTTTCTTCCTTCCATCCATCCTTCCTTGCTTCCTTGCTTCCTTCCTTCCTTCCTTCCGTCCTGGCTTCGTACCTTCCTTCCTTCCTTCCTTCCGTCCTTCCTTCCTTCCTTCCTTCCTTCCTTGCCTTCTTGCCTTTCTTTGTTTCTTTTCTTTATTTTTTTATTGATGCATTTTTATTTTTTTCTTGATGCATTTATATTTTTTTATTGATGCATTTATATTTCTTTTTTGATGCGTCTCCCCCCCCCAGCCGTCCGGCCGCCTTCGTCCCCTCACTCCGTCTTTCCTCCACCGCGGCCGGACAGAAGGTGCGTACGACTGTGTGCGGTCCTTCCGGTTCAGGATCAGGTTGCCCTTGTCCAGGTACCCCGTGCAAAAGGACAACGCGATGTCAGTGCTCCTGCGAAAGGCCGGGAAACACCACGGGTTGCTTCAGTTCAATTCCCCTGACTGAAGCCACCTGTAAAAAAAGGAGCTCCTGCCCAAGGGATGTGTTTGATTGCCCTTTCAGGATGTTTAAGGTGCATCCAAGTGCAACATGACCATCCCAAACAGCTTGATCTTTGCAAAATTGATCTGCCACACAGATCGCAAAAACAAGGAGGAACTTGAGAGGAGGTAGGTGGACAAATACTAAAAATGATATATCTAAAATTAAGGGGAGGCCTGTCGGACGCACAGCCAGTCGGAAGTGCTGGTGTCGTGGTGGCCGACGAAAGCAAGCCAATGAGAGAAGTGGAGGGCCCGCCTTATCGACTAAAGCCATAAGTTACACTACCGAATACATGTTGTCTAAGGCAAGTCAGGTTGTTGAGGCAAGCTTCCATGATTTGATCGATAGCTTCTCTGCAAAAGCATTAAGACATTGACGACTATTGCCATGTGGGCATCACAAAATGACCAAATCCACACTACGTCTTGGTTCTTTTCGGCATGTCTACTGATTCGAGGATCCGTATTGATCCGTTGAATACTGTTTGATGGGTCCTCAGAGGTCCCCCATATCGGGCTCTGAAACTGAAACAACGGACTATACCAACCCTCCTGCCAGGGGTGTCCAATGAACTACCCCACACTAGCTTCCAAGGCTTCCAGACAGGGCACCCCACGGTGTCGGGTCCTGGTATATACATTATGGTACATTCAGATTGATTTGTGGCCCACAACCCATCTTCATCCATCTTCCCATTCCCACAGGAGTCCGCTACACGTCCGGGACGGGCGTAGCGCGCTCATCCCGGTCCAGAAGAAGACCTCCATGGTGGCAATGACCTTCAGCGCGGGCAGCTCGTCGTACAAGGCGGGGCTCACGAACTGGAGTGGCAACGCGATGGCGTCGCAGATCAACAGCAGAATGCCTGGCCGGGCCGGTCGGGCGATGTCGTTCCCTCGTGAGGGAGCCAAGGGGTAGGAGTCCTCCGGTGGGGGAGGTAGCAACGATGTTATACGTTACTGTAGTGATTTGCTCATCTGGCTGGTCCTAACTTAGGAGTCAAAGTGCTGGATGCCTCTTATATAGATAGAAAGTGCTGGCTGTGGCTCACCTGGGGGGTAGTTTGGCTGAGAAAAATGGTAGAGGATTGGAGAATCAACTATAACTAGGATTTCCAGGCAGATGTTATGAGCGGAATGGTGTGAGTGCACCCCCGCCCCCGCAGAACCTTGAAATTCAATCGATGTCCTTAAAGTCTGACAATGAGACCTTCGACTTGCAAGTGCATAACATACTGCCATGACATACCCAAACCTAAAGTCGAGCGTTCTGAGCTGCAATCCCCAGAAAACAATGATATGAGTTGATTACCTTGCAAAAAACAAACCACGCATGTTCTTTTTCAGAGGTCTTGAACAATTGGTCAACAGTAAGAGTCCAAGTTCAAGCTGATTCTCTTCAACTTCCCGTACCGGTACCGGCACTCTCTGGCTGGGCAGGGTGCCCAACAGATCCCAGAAGTTCCGGAAGTGTCCTGAAGTTCGTGCGAGACGCCCAGCGGCCAACATCCGAGGTATCCCGAGGCGTCAACACCCTTGCGGCCAACATGCGTACACCCTTGAGGAAACATACGTGCATTCGTTCGGTCAGGATCCAACTATTGTCTGGGAATCTGGGATTTCCAGATTCTGCGCATGCTCAAAAAATACAAAAGTCACGGAAAGAAACTTATTGACGTATACATGACTTTTGATACTTGAGGCTAGCTGAGGTACATCAAGTGAACCTATTGAACTTATAACGCAAGTTTCTTACAGGTAGAAATATAGTAGAAATTGAATAGAAATTGGCTAGACATAGCGGGAAATAAGTAGAACATCGATATGTCTTAAATATGTTTTTTCCTTAGGTTCTTCATGTGTTTCCTATGTGCTTGGTTTAATCCGCCGGCTTGCCGGCGTGCTTTGTGGATTGTTTTGGTTAGTATAGCTGGTGTTGGTTTCAATCTACGGTTTGTATCTCCGCGCGGATTTTTCGACAGCCTGACGCCCCCCCCCCCCCCTCTCTACGTCTAAGGTGATTGGACTGAGACATGTCGATCGCTGGATCAGAACAGACAACCTCTGATTCGGATTCCTTCCATTTCATTGTAAAGCGACTTCGCTTGAAATCAACATCAACAAACTCACCCAGCAAAATGTGCAACTCCAATGCACCCACAAGTCTGATTGAGCAGGGTATTGTTGTTCGATGTCATTCTGGGTCTTTCATTTCAAACGCTTTGGAGAAAAAACGACAAATCATGCCAGATCAAGAAATTTTTTCGGTCGCTTTGAAGCCTTCTGTGTGTGAAAAAGAATATCTGGTGCGTGTCGCAATCCCTCGAGACGGTCGGAAAAAAGATCTGAAAAGGAAAACATGCAAACGGCCAAGTAGTTTGGAAGAAGAATCGTTTTGAAGGTCATGTTTTGTGGATAGTCTTGGTTCGCATTGCTTGTGTTGGTTTCAATTGGTTCCTCTTAGGTGATTCGACTGAGACATGCCGGTTCGGATCGCTGGATCAGAATAGACAACCTCTGATTCGGATTCGTTCCATTTCATGGTCAAACAACCTTGAAATAGACATCAACAAACTCACCCAGCCAAATGTGCAACTCCAATGCACCAACAAGTATGAATGATTGAGCAGGGTATTGTTGTTCGATGTCATTCTGGGTCTTTCATTTCGAACGGTTTGGAGAAAAGAACGACAAATCATGCCAGATCAAGAAATTCTTCGGTCGCTTTGAAGCCTTCTGTATGTGAAAAAGAATATCTTGTGCGACTCGCAATTCCTCAAGACGGTCGAAAAAAAGATCTGACAAGGAAAACATGCAAAAGGCCAAGTAGTTTGGAAGAAGACTCATTTTCAAGTACCGGTTTTGTGGATTGTCTTGCTTCGTCTGGCTTGTGTTGGTTTCCATTGGTTTCAATCTACGGTTGGTTTCAATCTACGGTTTGTTTCTCCGCGCGGATGTTTCGACAGCCTGCCCTGCCCCCCTCCCTCCCGTCCCCCCCCCCTCTTAGGTGAAGAATCAGAATCTGCTTCGAACTTTGTTTCCTTTGTCAGATTGGACTGAGACCTGTCGGTTCGGATCGCTGGATCATGAGGCTGCCTGCCAATGCGGGCTCGAGCTGGTGGCCGGCGGCATGCCGAAGGCTGTAAATATCCAAGGACAATTTTCTCTTGAACATATACATATTCCACATGATAAAAACTTAGCGGCCTAAGGGACGCTCTCAAATGATTCATCGGGTAAACAAAAAGAACAAAAAGGATCAAAAAGGCGTGCAAGCGGCCTCAGGGACGCTCTGTTATGATCAGGGATTTTCAAGAAACCTAGCAGTTAGCAGTTTTGTTGACCAGTGTGTTTTTGGATGTATCGGGATGTATCAGAATGTATCGGCCTTACTTTCCTTACTCCCCAGGATGAGCCGATACATTCCGATACATTCATTGCAATCAAAAGCTACAGTCAATAATGGTGTCCAAAAATAGTGTTTTTTGTTTCATATGTCAATGATAGATTGAGCCATGTGGGAAAACAGCAACCGATCCAACACGAGCGCGAATGAATGTTTTCGTTGAAAAGCAACTAGGCAGAATAAGTAGAAAATAAGTATAAATTATAGACATAAAGAAGTAGAACCCAATGTAGAAAACATGTTGAAGTTCTAAAGGTAGATTGAAAAATAAAGAAACATAGCTATAAACAGAAGTAGACATTAGCTAAACATTAGGATATTACATTAAACAAAGTAGTCAATTGTAGAATAAGCAGCCAACATAAGTACTAAAGTTCACAAGCTACTTCTATGTTCCATAAGTAGGGCCCTGGTACTTGTCGAACTTATAGAAGTTACCGTATGAACTTATTGAACTTATAACATAACTTCAGCTAGCCTCAAGTGCCCCAAGTCACGAAGCGTTTTGTACATGTACCAGAACACCCATATTCCATCATATTCCTTCATTCCCAAGCTCGCTCCCGTGCTCGCTCCTGTCGGGCTCAGCACGCAGGATGACCACTTGCGCATCCACATTCCCGGCACGGTCTTGGCCGCACCAAGAACCCTGTGCGGCGCGGCACTGCGAGGGACCGCGCTTGGCGCGTCGTCGGCCGGCGCCAGGCCGAAGCTCTTGGTGGCAGCGGTGGCGGTGCCGCCACGGGAGTTGCAGGTTTTCGCGCGATGAAGCCAACCTCGAGGCGCGGTGCTGCGATTTTTTCGGAGGTTGGAGCAAAGGTTGGGGGCTTGTGTCCGGGAGTGACAAGGAATAGTCTAGCTGGCTCAGCCATGTGGGGGTTAATTGGCAACTTTTGGGATCCTGTAAATAACACGGTATAGAGCGTAATTATCACATGCCAGTTCTTGATGGTCTCCACCCAAGATTCAGGCATTCTGAGCAAAAAAAGGCATGATCTGCTAAGTCTAACCCCTCCGGATAGAACATTCTGAGCGTGCTCTTCAAAGGCGTTGACTCCCCATGCCTCCTCCATACACTACTGGCTAGCACTAAATCAACATACTGGAAGAAATCGTGCACCAGCAACTGTGCAGTCCCCCAAAAAGAAACAAGTCCTCACCCCGCACCCCCATATCAATGTTGTGCTTGTGGATGCTTGAGGTGGTGCAGGATTGGTTCCATTCAACTTCCTTTTGTTGAGCATGGTTTCAACCCGGCAATGTTGAAGAGGGAGCACGAGGGTTTGTAGTATTACATATTATATATATAATTTGCTAAAGACGTAAAGGTGTGTGGTGCTGGATTCTGTCCACCCACCGTACGCTGTGGCATTTGATCCAGTTCACACTAGTTGACTACTCTCAAAGGGCTTTGTACATTTTAAGTGCAGCTGATATCTTCTCCAAAAACTGCTTCTGAACCCTGGCTTCGGTTCTAAACCCTACCTGCCCCAGGCACACTCCAAGGGCACTGCGAGCGCGCCCAACGAGGAGGCACTCATGCTCGCAGCTGCGGAGGATTCCACCCGCTGTGGAGCTGACTGGGACCCCCTCCTTGGTGGCGCTGGAGGTGTTTCATGGCCACTTATTGTGAGCTCCTGATGCTTTGTCCTGCTTTGAACTTCAGCTGTTCACTCACGGAGTTTTGCTTTTTGCACGGACTTGGGGTTGCTGATTATTGATTTCTAGTTTCTGATGTCACAACATCATGGCATTGGGAATTCTCCCCTTCAAGAAAGCCTGACCATGCTTAAGGGCCAGAGCATCCAAACAGTGTATATAAGACACATGGAATAGGTATGGGTCGATCAATATCCCTAAGACCCTTATAGCTTCATAAACACAATGAAATCAAACCAACTGGCACATTCACTCTCGGTGAACGTGTGGGCTTCCCCACATCTACCCGTATGGTTTTGAACTCACAGACTCCGCCGAAGTGTTTGGGAGAAAGACCACCGAACCCTGCAGAGCACAGGTCGACCTGTACTGGCTCTGCACTGGGTAGAAGGTGCTGCTGCCGTGTTTTCATCTCCATGAACATCCGTAAATAAAAAGTGGAGAGCAAGGCATGCCCATACATGTTCAAGTCAGCTGACTGGCAAAACGGTCTCTAACGAGGCGACTGAAGCACCCAAAGTCAATGACGATCTACCGAATTAATCGACCGTGACGCGGATATTTCAACACTTCCCGCATCAATCAACTAAGAACACAACACTGAATCTGCCTTAATTTATCCGACTGTATAAATTCAGCAGGTTCCATTTCTGTAGAATTGTAGAATTCCTGGCCTGGCGGGCTCACAAATTTGACATGTTGTAGAGTTGTAGGGTCACAATTGGCAAACCTCCTCAAGAAAGTTAACGTTTAGCCATAGTATCTGAAAAACTGCAATGCAAAAGCACTTAAGCCATAATTTATGGACCTTTTTGGGGGACCACAAGTCACAAGCCCCGGACCCCCACCTCTTTCGCCCGAGGAAGACCGAGCTGCTCGTCGGGTGAGCGGCGGTAGTCCGGACCGATTGACGCGAAGTCACTGTCGTCCTCATGGCCTCGAGTGGACGAGCAAGACCAACAGCGAGAGACGGCGGTTGATCACCCAGGGTGAAAAGAAGCGCTTCTCTTGGCGTTTTAATTCATCCAGCTGGAGTTTACCTAGGCCACCGGCCAGACCGTACAGCTGCTTGAAGCAAAGAAACTCCAGCTGGAGGTGAAAATGGAATTGCTCACAAATTCGGACGTCCAGAATGGTCCAAAAGTCCCTCAGCCGTAGGAACAGCGAGACAGTTAGCCAGAGGATCCGTGAAACGGGTCATTCGCAAAAAACCTGCAGACCCACATGGGACCCTTCGTCCACCTTAATAAGCCTGCCTGAAAAACATTGAGCTTATTTGGAAGTGGTTACACCTACCTACTCCAAGTTGTTGTGTTTGAGCTCGTTCATGTTGACACCTCCTCAGCAGAAATTGTTGTCTTTGAGCTTGTAATTGTATATAATTAGTCCCCCTGCCCTCTCTTTTCCTCAGACCTCCATCGAACCAAGGACTTCGTCAAGTTTCGATCCTCGCAACAGAAAACATGTATGTATATATTGGGCCTCCTATTACCAGTAACGGTGGATGATGATGGTTGGGTTGCAGGCCTTTCTCTAAAATCGTGATGTTCTTGTTTACTGACTGTTAGTAGGACAGATCCTGGCCCTGGCTGCCAATATATATATGTCGAAGCAGCCGATTGCCGTTCGTCATGTGCACCTTGTCATGACC